GAATTATCAGCGTGTGACTGTGTGCATCTTTGGTGTACCTGTTTTCATCATTACATCTGTCAAATCACGTGTGAACTGTCTCGGACCAAGCTGAGATAAGTGAGCACGCATACCTACGTAGTAGGTAACTCTTGAATTTGGAGCAAGTTTTCGATTGATAGTTGAAGCGTTTCGGACGTGCGGAGTATGACAAACGAAGACCGGAGAGGAGATCAAGATGGCAATAGGAGCGGAGGAGGAGATCGGGACCGTGACAGGGACCGTGATCGGTATCGTGACCACGATCGGAACCGAGATCAAGACCGTGGGCGGGAGCCGAGCAGCGATCGTGATCGAGAACGTGAGCGGGGACAAAGGTGTGGACCACCTCGATGTTTTCGATGCCAACGAGTTGGGCATTACGCAAACCAGTGTAGCTGGTTTGATGCTCCTACGGCATCAGGGGACTCCCAACGAGCAAGGTCGTCATCTCCAAGGCGTGGATATCAAGGGCGGTCCTCCTCATCCGGAGAGTCACGCCATACACCTGAGTTGGAGAAACTGGAACGGAACGTGGCGAGTTTGCAGGAATATGTTCAGCTAGAACGTGCGAAGAAGGAGGAGAAGGAAGCCAAGAAGAAGGCAAAAGCCCTTGCCAAGCAGCGTGAGGAAGAGGAGAGACTTGAGCGAGAGAGAAGCATCGCCAAGAGGATCGAAAAGAAGAAGCGTGCTGAAGAAAAACAGTTGGAACTTGCCAAGAGTGTCGACATCCAATTGTCTTTGAAGATCGGTGAATTACGAGATGAAATTCGACAGGAATTACGCCAGGCTATTACGGGAAAAAGCAAGGCGAAGAGCCGGGGAACGAAAGCGATGACGGTACTAGTGATCTGAGCATCCGTACCGGTCAACTCACGATCAATGAGAAACGCAAACGGGGAGAGGAGCCGGTCTTTGAGGATAGCCCTCTGATGATCGTCCCGCCGAAATGTACTCCAACTAGACACACAGCAATGAAATCTATCAAGACACCTCGATCGAAGACCCGCACCCCGAAGACAAAGATGAAGTCACGTAAGGACAGGGGGTCAATGGACCTCTGCGAAGAAGATTCCAGCGAAGTGCAGAACGGTGGGGCGTTTTCAATATTTGGAGACTGTTCGACGTGATCTAATTGATTGCGATGCCAAAACGCTGGAGGCAATGTGCAGGGACGTCGGTATCGAGTATCGCGGAAAAATGCATGCGATTTTTGACATCGCAGATCAGAAGGCCGGGGTGGCATATGGATCGGAGCAAGAGGCTGGAGCGGAGGTGCAGGAGGCTGTTGGAGAAGGCGTGAATACGGGAAGTGATAGCGGTGGAGAAGAGGAGGTAACTACGGTTCCTAACCACGAGTAAGGGTGCGCAACTCTGCGGCGTCAATACCATTTACCGTGTAATGTTCGAAAGAAGATGAAGAGTGTGGAACCCGCGATAGAAGCAGTGGTACAACTACTCATCGTTAAGTTGACTTTACTCGGCGGAATCAGATGGTGCTCTAAGTTTGTGCCGAATTGGATTCGTTTGTTCGAACACCATGGGATCTCCTTCTTGGAGAAACCTTGTTGTGTTTATGTTGTTGTCTCCTTAAGCTGCAAGTCGACTTATATCGGTAAGACCATTCGTAACACTAACACTCGATGGCGAGAACATCTGTATGCTAGCAAGAATAGAGGGCAGTCTCATTTTTATCGATGGTTAGCGTGTTATGGCTGCGAGCAGTACGTCCTAGTTCCGATTGACATAGCGAGTGAGCATGAACTAATAGAGCTCGAGTCCTTATATATTCGGAATTTTTCTCCGTTTCTGAACTCAACTGGTGCACGGAGTAATAAGCGTATTCGAAAGAAGTGCCCGTTAGGACGTAGGGAACGCATTCGTAAACAGCAGACACCGATTGTCGAAAGATCGAAACCCCTTGTCCCAGTGAGGGTTAGGAGCCCTGGTCAGGTCAATGAGTCACTGCACGTACAGGAGTGTCTGAAAGAGGAATTAGACTTGAAGCATCATAATTTCATCCTGTCTTTTTCGGGTGGAAATGCATGGTTCGACACTTGGCATGCTATTGTTAAGGAATTTGGAAAGACCACGGTACGTGTTGATGGCTGCGCTCGTGACCTAAGTCGCTGTAAAGGTGTTTTCGAGGCTGGCGGAAGCTTTGAGTTCATATGTTTACAAAGATGGAAACCAGCCAGTGGACCGTACAAAGGCGTCTTGGTTTCAATTCTTCATAATCCAAAGCAATTGGATTTCATATGGACTTAGAAGCTTAATAATCTTTTGAAGTTATATAATGTTGTCAAAGATTTCAGTCGTAATTCTACTAGGTGTTATCTTCGACATTTGTTGGGGTGTGTTTTCTGTGACAAGCATGGAATTCATGTCAATTCCGATATGTGCATTCGTATCGGGTTTGACGATCGCATTAAATTGTCTGAGGTTAGGAAAGTGGTAAATGATGGTTTGATGGAATGTCAGCTACCTTCGTGTTTTGCCAAGCGTGCGCGTCGGAAAGTTCGTACGGTTTGGACCAAAAATCCTACCGTTGGGAACATTCTGCACAATCAGAGGATTTGGGGCTCGTTCGACACTCCTTGGGGCGTCCTCGGGGTCCAAGGAAGTTTCCTTGGGGGTTTTCAAGGAAATTCCCCCCATCGTTCCACCTGTCCTCGGGAACGTCGCCCGAGGACATTTCCTTGGAGCGATGTCAGACAAGAAAAAGAAAAGGAAAAAAAAATCAAATGTATTTGAGGCCTTCAACCAATAGGGTGCCGCCACGATCCAGATTCTTGGTTGTAACGTCTCTCTACCCATGTGCCCGCTCCTCTCCGTGAAACGCGGATTCCTTTTGCCCAAGGGACCTCGTGAGGTCCCTTGGGCAAAAGGAAGAAATGGCTGGGAAATCCTTGGAGCCCAAGGAATTTTTCCTTCGGAGTGTTCGGAGTGTTTTCACTTTTTTTTTTTTCCGACTGCATCCCTGAGGATAGGTGGAACGAACAATTCCTCGGGGAATTTACGCGCCCGAGGAGTGTCGAACGAGCCCCTTTATGTCTCAAAAAGTGTGCTAGCCTGTAGTTGTTCAGGCATGTCTGCTCCTAAAGAGCATGGACACGTGCGCTTTCGCTTGAGCACTGTCGAGGGACTACACCCCCTGTTGTACAATGCCAATAACATTCCAGTTGATCAGAAGGAGGGCCGGAGTAGGAAGTTGCTCGAAGAAATCAAGACTGGGTTTTCTCAATGGAGGAATTGTGGTAGTGTACCAACAATCAGTGTGGAGGATCTGTCTTCATGTTTGGTTGAGGGAGAGGATATCCCTAGTAGTTCTTTGTCCCGATTTGTGGTCGACGACTGCAAGAGGCGTTGGGATGGTTTGGTCATGACACCACTCGACCGTAACACCGGTGAAACTCTGGTGCTTTGTCCTCAAGTCTACTACGAAGCTATGATGAACACACTCGTGCGTAGCTCAGGTTATGTAGTAGTAGACCAACCTGAGGACCAGGTCTTGATGCCAGTTTGGGAGGAAGCTGTGCTGTTGGACCTGAGACTTTTTGTCAAATTGGATAAATCGGGGTCCATAGGTTCGTCGTATGTGCTGCCAAAGCACAAGGACTTGGATAGGTACCGCCCTATTTGTCCTACTTTCATGGAGCCAATGGTTAGGACAGGTAAGGCTGTGTCGAAAGCATTGAATCACATGCTGCTCTGTCTGCCGAAAAATTCACACTTTAACTTGCCTGCAGTCTCACGGTTGTCAGACAAGTTTAAAGCTATCAATTCAAGCATTAGACGGAGTCGGAAGGATTTACAAGTTTCGGCGTTTTCATATGACATCAAGGATATGTTCAGTCACCTCCCGCACGACTGTGTCCTCGAAGCTGTCAGTTGGCTGACTGAGATTTACCGAAAGAAAGGGTGCACGTCCGTAAGAGTGAACACGAGGGGAAGGGGGTCATCTTTTGGTTACACAACAGGTGCGGACCATTGGAGGAAACTGGACATGAACGATATCTGTAGGTTTGTGCGGTTGGAGCTTATGCACACATACACTCGTGCTACTGGAGTTTTGTTAAGACAGATCATTGGTATACCAATGGGCAAGAGTACTAGCCCACCACTGGCCTGCATTATGTGTGCCCATGCAGAATTCTGATTCCTATCTGGACTCGGTAGGAAGAACTGTTTGGTGTTTGGGACTCGCCTAGCGGATGACGTCTGTTTGGTTGTTGCCCACTCGTGTGACACAGATCTTACAAGTATACAGGCACGCTTCGAGAGGTGTTACCCAGAGAACTTGACATTGAAACGGACTGATGAAGGGAATCAAGATTGGGATTTCTTAGGCTGCCGGGTTCACGTTCGGCAATCCTTTCCGTATGTAAGCTGTGTCCAGCTGTCAAAAAATGAGAATTGTGTCTGGTCAGAGGATACGTTGGAATTCAAAAACGGACAGTCTTTTGCATCATGGGGAGGAAAAAGCCAGAAAAGTGCAGCCATTGGAAGCCAGCTGCACCGAATTGAGCAGAATACCACTATTCGAAGTGAAATTCCTGTTAGGGTCTTGACCCTTAAGAGGGAATTACGTATGAAGGGTGTACCTGCTGACTTCTTCCTGAGAGTCTTGAAGAGATTTGCGTATAGACGTGATGCGGTATGGGAAACCACAGTCCAGCGGATTGAATCAACCCAGTATCGAGTCATAAACAAGTCTTAGAAGTGATTTACTGTAACGAGCTGTTTAGGACAATACAGTAGCGTACCATGGTTTTGTGTCGTGTGGTTTTGTTTGGTGTGTATGAGCCATAAGTACACTAAGTAGGCTGTGAAATAGTGACAGGGTAACCAATGGGAAGCTTTTTGGACGTTCTGTTCGTCTATTTTGTTGTGACCTTCAGATTTTGCTTTTAGTGGGGGCTTACTGTGAGTGAACTGGACCTAACGGGCTTTTTCTGCCAGACTGGGCTTTGAAACCACAGTGGGAACTTCAACCCGATACGTGGATGCACGTATATTGGTGGGTTTTCTTTTCTTTGGTTTTGCCTGATAAGCAGAAGGTTAGATCAGGGCACACCTTGTCTTTTTTTGTGTGAGTGTGGATTTGGCGGGAACCAGGCTTCCCCTGGACCTGAAGCTACAAGCTACTCAGACCTACCGGTTGCCAAGATTCCCTGGTACCCGGGTCCGTGGTTCCGCGGCGAATTATTTCCCGAGCTATAGTACTTGAAGACAATCAGTTGAGGTAGAAATCGTCTTTCAGGACCAACGTGTTTTCCATACGTCGGCATTTCCGGAAATGCTGGCACTCTTGGATCACGGAGGAGGGCGAGAGGTGGAATGGTGTTGTGGGGATAGATGGTGGTGAACCCCCTGAAGATGACTGCGTGGCGGCAGTCGAAACGCGTCGGGGAGCCTATTCTGAGTAATAAAGCTTTTTGAACTGTTGAAGCCTATTCTGAGTGATAAAGCTTTTGAACGGTTGAAGTACTATTGTTTTCGTCAACGTCGAATTATCAGCGTGTGACTGTGTGCATCTTTGGTGTACCTGTTTTCATCATTACATCGTCGTTTAGGCCTGAAATATGTTCAATATACCCCTATCGGTACGTGTTCCAAATTTCTAGTAAGCCCCGGTAGCTCCCCTCCCAGAGCCAGTGGGAAGGCCACAGGGGCATGCTGGTAAGTTGCTCCCCCACAGAGAGGGGCCTGCAGGAAAGTTCAGAGCCCCCAGGGGCACGGCAGGGTAAGTCACTGGCAGTCGTCGGAGGGGCACGGTGCAAATTAATCGAACTTTCAGGGGCATATCGAAAATTGTCCCAACATTGTCAAGATCCAAAACTGCGTGATCCTTTTTTCCCCCCCCTGTCATCCAGAATTACTACCTAACCCTTGCCTACCCGCCCTGCAACCTGCGTGGCAGGGGTCTGTGCCCACAGGCCCCAACTGCGCCCAGAGACCGCGCAGAACCCACCCACGGACTCGCCATTGGTGATGATCTGGCTTTCGTTTTAAAAAAAAAAAAAAAAGAAAAGGGAGACGGCCTTGAGATATCATCACTCAACTGACCGGCAAGGGGGGCTACCCAATGTGGATGGGTTTTACGTACAAATGCAGAAAGCCAGATTTTTTTTTTTTTTTTTTTTTTTTCCCCCCAAAGGGCCTAGCTCAGTTGGTACACCCCTGAACTGTTGAAATACAGACTCGCTTTCGAATCCAGATGCCCTCAGATGTAGAGATTCTGAATTGCCTGGGGCGAGGAGGTCCCACTAGCAACCGGATAGAATAGAAACGAGTTTGTGGGGCAGTTGAGTGACCCAAATCCTGCCATGCAGTACTCGTGATCCCACGGTCAGTACTTTTCATGTATAACCGGAAAAAGTAAGGAGATCTTTCCCATTTCATTTTCGGTTTTCTATTTTTTTTCTCACCCTTCACCTACTGATCACTGGGTCTCCACAAGTTTTTTTTTTTTTTTTCAACAAACCAGTGTAATCATTATAAAAGGAATCGAGGCCAGGGACCTCACAATTCTACCCGGGGCTAAGTCCCACATACACCGTTGAGCCAGTTCAACGTGTGTGACCCTACGCGAAGTCTGAGATGCATCCGGAGCTGCACATCCAGCGGTTGTTCCTAGGTGTATAAAATAGAAAGACTTTCGTTTTCGTTTTTTGCCAATTTTTGGTTCAAGAAAGCTGCTGAAAAATCCTTCCGCCCTAATACAAGGCCCCCTACCCTGCCCATCTTCCGTTGAACTACATACCGTGTCATACCCCACTTGGAGTGGGGTATGGGTTCAACCGGGCTTGTGCCATGATGCCTTCTGTGGGAGGACACTCTGACAGCCGTGTGAGAACACTCTGGCATTCTGTGGGAGGACCCTCTGACAGAGTGTTCATGAAGTGTTGGACTGTGCAGCCCCAAACTCATTTCTGTGAAGGCACCAAGCCAGGAGTACCGTCTACGTTCATTTCATGTTGTAGTGAGTCCCTGTCTCTGACGATGTGTATTACGCGGAGCCTTTCACTGAGGATTGTTGTATTTTCCATTTTAATTCTGAGAAAATACGGACAAAGATTTCAGTAGCATTTGGTTATTCATTGTTTTTTTGGGAAATAGGGGAAAAAAAGCTTTCAGCAGCTTTTTTTTTTTTTTTTTGCCATTGTTTTGAGTTTTTAAGTCGCAAAAACCGTGTCACACCGTTGCTTTGAGCTAGTTCAATGGTGCATGTGGGACTTGGCCCCCGGAGTTATCCTGGCAGCATCAGCCAGTTAAGCTTACGGCCCCGGCCAAACCGGAGACCAACTCACAAATCAATAGATTTCAGAACACAGACCTCAACCGCACAGTGCACTTGCCTCACTATTGTTTCCTATCTCAGAAAAACCACTACTTTCCAACATATGAAAGACACTGCAAAATGTTCCTATCGCAGAAAAATCACTACTTTAGAACATGTGAAACGACTGCAAAACCCGACGACCAGGCCTATCCGACCTGGTGGAACACACTGTTCCTGTCCACAATGACACTCTCCTGCTAGACCACAGCGTCCCTACGAACCGAGTGTCCTGGTAAACACCCTGCCACTCTCTAGTGTAGAGTCTGAAGCTTGTTTTTTTTTTTTTGTTTTTTTTTTGTTTTGTTTTTCAAGTAATGGAGCGTTGAGGTTCTTTCAACGCCCGAATGTGGACATGTTAGTGGAGATGTGCGGTTAAGAATAAACATAATTATTTATAATTTATATATTTATAAGTTATATATAATCAATTATTTATATTCATTATATTTTATTTATATTCATTATATTTTATTTATATTCATTATATTTTATTTATATTCATTATATTCTATTAAATTACTATATTATTTATTAGATTATTATATTCTGTTTATTTTTCGAAAATTATGTTATTGTATATGAAATTGGATTAAAATCTAAATAGAACTAAAAAAATCCAAATTTAGATAGATCAATTGCTCAATTTGCAGAAATTTTACACAGTGAAAGTCTTTTTCTTGAAACTTTTATACAATAAATAGAATCTATAATAATTATCATACAATAATACATAGAATAGAATTCTAATTCTAATAGAATACTCATCAATAATAGACCATAAAAACAATCGATACGCCATTTTCTGCACATCTCCACAAACACGTCCAGATTCGGGCTTGAGGAAACTGGACGCTGCTAGTGGGACTTCGTCCCCCGGCCGGCAGTACGATCGTGTTCGAAGAGACGTAATCGCCTTTTTTTTTTTTTTTCCCACCCTTTGCCTCGATTTATCTCCTTTTTTTTATTTTATTTTTTAAGTACCTTAGTTTCATTAGCCAAAGGAATCGATCACGCCCCGGGGTCCTCACACTCTACGCCGGAATTGTGACTTCTACGAGCATTACCCAGTTTCGCTTACGGGATGAGCCCGCCAGAGGATAAACCCTCTGAGAGCCACAACTCATAGACTAAACCACTGTAAGTGAAGCTCACATCAAGAGGCTCAGCACAGGTCCGGATTGTAATCCAAACTCCTGTCCTGGCCAGCTCGGCTAGACCTGCCCTTAACTCAGGGCAGTGGAACAGTCCATGGTTCCGTCGTGACAGTGGCACTCCCTCCTGATCCCGCTTCCCTCGTTCTGCCGCCCTCGTGCTGTGACCCCTCTTCCCTCGTTCTGCCGCCCTCCCACTGCGGAGGTAATACCGAGCACCCAGGTAAGATTTATCGTGGCCCTCGCGACTCCTACGGGAAATCCGGTAAGGATTCGAGATCCACTTATGCAGAAGAGAGAGAGACTCTGAGAGAGATTAGCAGCATGGTCCCTGCGCACGGATGTGAGTCGCCCATAAATCGAGAAAGGGCAATGCAGTGGTGTCCAACCACCGCTGTGTCACACGATTCCCCAGCGTGAGGGCGAACAAAGCTGTGACAGAGTCCGATCCGAGCATTCGGTTATTCGCGAGTGGGAGTGGAAGTGGGAGAGCGGATGCGAGTGGGAGGGGGAGGGCGGTTTGAGAGCGAAAGAGAACGGTGCAAGTAGCGGGCGGAGGTGAGGCAGAGCGGCCAAGACCCAGACATCGAGGCTGGCGATTGTCGCCCAGCTGGGATGGGCAATGACGAGCACGCAGTGTTCTTCCCCTCCTCCTTGCAGCTGCTATCTCGTGGGTCGAGTGATGGTGGACTCAGGCGGAGAGCTGAGCTCGGTCTGCGGCCAACGATGATGGCACGAGCTTCGATTGCTCTCCTCCTTCTTCTTCTGGTTATTGCAGCCGCGGGGCTGACACAGGTCGCCGCTGACCGTTCTGACGAGAACGGGGACAGACATGGCGGGGACAGACCTGGCGGGGACAGACCTGGCGGGGACAGACCTGGCGGGGACAGACCTGGCGGGGACAGACCTGGTGGGGACAGACCTGGCGAGGGCAGTGGTTCCCCCCGTCAATGCCCAGGCAGTTTCACTAATTATCCCGTTTGCAACCTGCAGGGTGATGGGTGCACGAAGCAAGCAGGGATGTTCGTTGGCAATGGGGGGGGTGGGACAAGAGTGCGATTAACAGGCGGGCCTAATGATTGTTGCGCTGAGTGTGCGGCAGACAGCAACTGCTTCTTCTGGACATGGACGAAAGTAAGTGGTCCTGCAGCTGGCAATATGTGCGACAAGTTCGGGAACGCCTTCCTGTGCGACGGCACGAGGAAGAGCTGGATGCCTATTTCCGATGGCTCCAGCGTAAGTGGAGGGAGTTGTGGGGTGAGCGGGCGAGACGACCCCCATTTCGTCGGGGCGGATGGGGTGCATTTCGACTTCTCCGGCGAGCCGCATGCAGATTTCTGTCTCGTGGCTGACCGTCATCTTCACGTCAACATGCACTTAAGCGGCTACTACGACAGCGTAGCAGACGCTGACGTCAACGACAATGGCGTAGAAGCGACGGACGTGGCGGGGACGCGGTCGACTGCTGATCACCATGGCCAGTCGGCTGTGCATGCGGTATCGACGAACGTAACCAGGACGTGGATTCGAGCACTGGGCATCCGTTTCAAAACGCACGCCATAGCTCTCGAAGCTCGCAGCGATGGCAATCCTGATCGTCTGGACGGGTACATGGCGAAGATCGAGGTCGACGGCGAGCTTGTGACGCTGACACCGGGCAGTGAGAAGAGGTTCGGTGATGGGATTCGACTGGCGCAGACGGATGTGACGCATTTCAGCGGCTACGAGCAAGACAACTACGTGGTCTCCATCGAGGGGGTGCTTGAGATCTCGCTGAGGCTTCGCTCTGCCGGCGCCAAATGGCAGAGAGCGGACGATGCTCAGACGCATTTCAACATCAACGTGCGCCAGCTTGCACACTCTGACGATGTGCATGGAGTGCTGGGCCAGACTTATCGGCCTCAGGCGAAGAGAACAGGCAGCGGCAGCTACAGGTTGGTCAAGGGCTTCCTGAAGGAGTATCAGGTGGAGGGACCCAACGGCGATGGCTACCTTGAGGGAGCCATGGACGACTACCGAACCACCGGCCTCCTCGCCACGGACTGCAAGTTCGCCATCTTCCAGCGCTCCGGCATGGACGCCGCCGACGCGCGTGACTCTCAAGTCACATTCGCAACCAAGGAGACCTCGTACGGGGTCGCTCTCGAACGCCGCCGGTAGCTCACAAACATGACAGGGGTGCATGTGTCTGTGTGTGTGTCTCACAGAGAGAGAGAGAGAGAGAGAGAGAGAGAGAGAGAGAGAGAGAGAGAGAGAGAGAGAGAGAGAGA